ATTATACATATAAATATATTTTTTTGCATTTTACAAAAAGTAAAATATCTTAGTAAAAAAAAAAAGAGAAATTGTATTATTTTATGTATACAATATCAAAAGAAAATAATACAGTTACTGATTAAACGACCAAATAAAATGGATTTTTGATTAAGAAAAAATTATTTTTTAATTAATTATAACATGTTTTTAAACCTATAAACATAAGTTAACGAATAGCATATTTGCTATATATCTTTAAAGTTAATTAATTTTGGATAAAACAGACATCTGCATAAAAAATTTGTAACATTTTTTTATTAACTATTTACATATTTTCACTTACCAATTCTTTATTCTTTCTATTGTAACTAGGGCTATCATTTGTATTGTTTCAAACGTATACGTACTTGTTGAAGTTGTGAAATAGTGCACTCTTATTTTTCACTTATTTTCACTATACCGAATGTACTTTTTTTAAAAGATAGGTCAACACTTTGGTTAATATCTTATTTATACCTTTAAATCACAATGGCATTTATAAAGTAATAATATCAACATATTGATATAACATATATAAATTAACCTTATTATAACAACAAAATTAAAAAATTAACAAAATTAAAAAATTTTATAAGAAAAATGAATATAATTTTATTTGTTATTCTCTAAAGTGACAAATATAACTTATTAATTTTAAAATTAATACTTAAGAGAGTGATGACTTTTTTAATGTGATAATAATTGTCTTATATTTTATACAAAAATTTGTAATTAAACATAAAGTTAGTATGATATTATATATTTATACATTTACTTTAATTATTATTATATTATTTAACAAAAAATAAAAACTTTGTTGTTCGAGTATCAGACTTCATCCTAGAATTTCGATTGCATCCATCATTTTCCGAAACATATATATAGGTTCTAATATTAATCCAAATACGATGAAATAAACTCTAATGCCCGTTCCTATAGATTAATAGTATTAATTTTCCAACCTGGAAATTGCAATGCAGATTAATATGAATAGTAGAGAGATCAAATAAGCGAGTAATTTAATCGATCTATAATTAAAATTAGTTAACTAAAACAACTACAAAAGATTATAAATTAGTTATTTATTAATATACAGTAAGTAGAATGATTCTTTTACTGTTCCGCATTATTTAGCACATAGAATTACAAATCGAACTTTCTATGATATTTAGCGTAACTTAACTGACAAAGTATTTAATAACGAAAACGTTAAAAAGAATCCATATAAAAAAAGTAAATAATAACAGTCTGATCTCTCTCGAAATTACATCACAAGTTAGAAACATTATCAATTTTCTAACAAACTAATTCAAATTTGTTTGAAAATTGTTAATATAGTATATTAGTTTTAGAAAATATATTGATAATTTACCATTTAGGAGGTAATAGCGAGATTAATTTAATTTAATATCTACCATTAATTTAATTTAATGTCAGATTAATTTAAGATTAATTTAATGTCGGATTAATTTTTCTGTCATGAAAACTTAGAATGTTTTTAATTTTAAAGATTTTTTAAATGGTTTTCATATTTGATGCGTAAACGCATAAAATGTATACACATCAAATTACTATAATACTGAAAGAGATTATTATTGGAATTAATAATGATCGAAAAATCAATAATAAATCAGTTTTTAGGAAAGATGCTTTGTAGTATAATTGAGGACGATGGAGTGAGTGTATTTTGTAAAGAAAACGAGGCGCAGGCAATCTTCAAAATAATTTATTAAAAATGTCGTATATTCGTTATATTTCGAGTCGGTAATCGGCAATGGTACAATTAGTAACTATATGTATGTCGCGTGAGCATGTTTCGGAGGATCAATTAAAATTTATGTCTGGCAGGTGATCGGTCGTTATTGTTCTTATTTTATCATGAATATAAATTAACAGAGTGTGTGTACATATATCGCTATATATATATATGTT